GTGCATAATTGTGTCATACTGGTGAGTTGTATGATATATTTTTATATTTTGTATGATGGCTCAGAAAAATATTTAGTCCCCCCAAATATATTTTTCTGGATCCGCCCCTGATATAGAGGAAAACATGGCATCTGCCTATCAAACCTAAGGTAAAACATTCCTTGTGGAGATGCTGGTTTGCCTATGTACGCACTAGTGCCCAAATTCAAAGGAAATGGATGAATGTTGACTTAATTTTTTTTTTAAATGTGGAGAGTTTGAGCAGGATTTACATTACATCTTATTCTCCTGTGAAAAGCTAGGCTTTGTTGGAAATTAAATGGGCTTTAGTAGGGCAAACAAGAAGGGGTGCCTTGAATTTCAAGAGTTGGTGGCTTGAACTGTGCAATGCAGGAAAATTAAGACTGTTAGAAGACAGAATGTGCTACTCTGCTTATCTCCTTTGGAACATTCGAAAGCCAGGAACAAATGGATATACAAAGGAGATTGGATATATGAGAGAGTAATTGTGGAGGATGTCGGGTCATAATGGATGGAGTGCAGCGATAGAACTGCAGTTGATCTTCACACCAGAACCTCAACCATGGGGCACCATATCCAACCCTCTGATAATTTTCCAAGGAAGTAGGTCAGCCATCCTTGTCTATCAGTACTTCAGATTCTGATGGAGGAGGGGATGTCCCTATATTGCTTAGTCCATCTCAAGGACCAGAATTCAAAAAGCTGGAAGATGACCTTCCTGGAAACATGCAGTAAAGAGGAAGCATTGCTACTTGCAGTGAGATGGAGCCTTAGACGAGCTGCACGCCTCCACTGGTGCAAGTTGACGTGTTTACTGCTTGCCTTGGGAGTGTAGTGTTGTGTTCTCTGATGTGATTGAGTTAGTTTCATTATGTTCTGTTACCTTTGTTTTGGACTAGTATTCTTGTAGTTGGTTTATGTTCTCAGGCAACATGCCTTTGAGGGAGTTGAGTGTGTTCTTCCCCTGTGCCCTTGTTCACATGTTGTGTGTTCAAGTTGCTCGTAACGATTGATTACCATTTTATTCTCTGTTTTGAGTGTTATGAAGTTATTTGTTTGCCATTGAAAAAAAAAAATCCAAGAAACGAAATTAAATGTGAAACCATTTAGAAATGACATAAAGATAGAAATCGGATCTAATATCAACATTGAGCTATCACCATTTTAGATATCAAACAAACAAACAAACAAAATCAGTCACATTAAAAAGAAAGCAGAGAATCATATGAGCCCTTCCTCCTCAAAATTTCTCTTGAAAAAAAAAAAAAAAAAAAAACACTCAAATGTAGGTTTGAAATATGGATAAATTTTCTTCAATTGAACCTTAAAAGGCCGACTGTTCAAATGTTCCAACCACAGATGCAAAATACAACCTTTCAGAATCAGTCAGTCAATAAACAATAAACACCATATAGATACAGGCTTTGCCTTTCACAATTAAATCAGCAGAGCTAATCCACTAATGAGACAAATGAAATTGCAAGGATCAACTAGACGTCAAGATCCTCGCATAATCCTTAGCTCATACGCGGAGGAAAACATAAAATATAACAAAATAAAGTCATTCAGAAAAAAGTTACTCGGAGATAACCGGAAACTTAACCTCCCGCTACATGTCATTTCCAGGCGAACGGAAATTACCCTTTTGTCCTCATAATAGTGATGCTCCCTTTTCCACCTTCTGTACGGATTTTGGTTTTCCCGACCACAGGCTTACCAGAGAAAGCCGAGGTAGGATAAGAAACAGATGGATCATCTTCATTTGGCTTTGATTTAGGCGGATTATGTATCTTTCGATTTATGTCCTTCAGAGTCATGTCACCATGGATGGCACACGGTTTAATGAAGGCGAAAGGGTAAACAACTGATGAGGCCAGTTTTGGAGGTGTGCGTATATACGATTTTTTACCTGATCATTATGTAAGATGAAAATAGAACAAGCTGGCTTACTTTACAGAACAAGGAACCTCAAAGATCAGTTTCTAAATGTGGGATGATTATAAAAACTATGCTCTGATTTTTTACTTGAACCTATGAAGAAATAATATTAATAGTAGTTATTTTGCACAAGTTTGCTAAATTATAAACCCTTGTTCCGCATGAGACCATACTAACTCGACATCCTTTCCTATTACTCAAGTGATATTAAGAAACATTTCGTTTGAAAAATAAGAAACAAGATAACAATTACCTTTGAAAACGACATTTTGATGCGTACGGACTGGATTTTTCTTTACTTGGGTAGCATCAAATTGAGGAGGTGAGTTGCAAAGTTCTGCAAGAACAGAAAAAAAGAACGCAAATTTTAGAGCAGGCTATAGAGACATTGTTGCTCGAGTAATGATGTTATGCAAGAGTTGATAAAATGAAACATTGCTCAATTACCTGCAATGTCAATTTGAACATCCTCAGATGGATCAGAAGCACTATTGCCATTCAGATCAAATGTTAGTAGCAAATACTAAATTAAAAATATAATAATAATAGTTATGAAAAAAAACTAGATAAATCTAAACGTACATTTCTTCAGTGCAAAAATGCATTTCAGCATCATTAATGCAATCAGCGATCCAACCTTCAGATGACGGGTCCAGACAATCATCAATAGATGCAGACGTTCCTTCAGCTAACAATATAATTTTCATCACTAGACTGTCAAATTAGTTTCCATTTAATTTGGACACAAAACCTGCTGGACAACAAACCTGTAAATCCAGCGGCCCACTCAGACATTTCAGATAGAGCATCCGCGAGAGATTCCTGTGTCTCCTAAACAATGAAAAATAAGCACATTTAGTGGTTAAGCATAAGCTAAGGACCACTGCTAATTAGAAGTACATGAAGTTTGCAAGTAGATGCTAAAACTTAAAAATTATCAATTAGAGTGATTGGTGATTAACTTTATACAAGTGTGCTCTTTGTCATTAAAACTCAAACCAATGGTAGAACAAAATATTTATAGCACCTTGACAACATTTTAATCTTATCATGCCGAAAGCTGACAGAATCTTTTTTATAGTGATAAAACACACTCCCTTGTTCACCAATCACAACACATTTTTTGTTCACTATAAGAAACAATTTTAAAAAAAATTTGTAGAACTCCTCAATTTTCGATAAAGAAGTACAAAAGTAACAGGCTAAGGAAATAGATTTTTCAATCATCCCCTTAAATGTTAAACCCAACTTCTAAGAATATATATATGCATATCAGATGGATTATGTTTTATATATTACAAGACATTTGTGGACAGCACAATACTAAAACAAAATAAGGTTATCTGGATAATCTTGCAGGCAGTAGATGTGATTGTACAAAAGAAACGACAATCTCCAAGTCACCAGACTGAGTTAAACTCAAACCTTTGATCTTAAAAATGCATCATCATTGAAAGGAGGAGCATCAAGAACTTCAGAATCAAACTGCAGCATACGACGCCTTTTAACTTGAGATGAAGGCTCTTTGTATTGCTCTGACTCTTTCTCCATAACTTCTACAGTTTGTTTAAAATGAAATTTAAATATATCAACCAATAAAAAGTTTAAAAGAAATCTTTTGCTGCTTCACATGATATTCAGCTTTTAATGCAAGGTCATTATTCACAGAAACAATTGATGAGCATATGGAAAACAAGGATCATCAACGTATTATAACTTATAAGTGCATAGAGCAATGCATTAAGACAGATAAGTAACACTCACACCATCAAAAGACTCTAAATGCTTGTTCATGAAATTAAGAGACATTTTCCTAATGAAAACTGCAAGTAATACACAGTTACATGTCGCTGCCTCCGTGCTAAGACAATCACGTCATAGTCAAGAAACAAAGCTGATAAAGTAATGATAGAAAACAAAACAAACTAAAGTGCAGTAAAAAATGAGCAGAGACTGTCTAATTTAAGCACATGAAAGACATTTCCTACCATTGCTGGTAACATGGTAAGCTAAATCTCCACAAGCTTTAACTGGGGTAGTTTCATTGTTGAATGTGTACGATATATCATCTGCATTTTCAGTCCCTCCATTCAACAGGGAATTAGGTATTTCTGCCACCATATTAAAAGGTATGTCAAACTTCAGCCCCTCATTTAAAGAAACACATACAACTAGACCAGATTTGGACTTACCAATTGTAGTGTTATCTTCAATGTAATACTCGTGGCTTTCCCAATCCCACATGTCACTAATACGTAAGCAAAAGGATTTATTAAATCCGCAGTCATAAAATCATGAAAAGGTAACTCCAAGAAAGCTCAAAATAGGTAGAATCCGAAAACACCGGGCTCAAGTTCAAAAAAAAAAACCGAGCGTGTCGAGTAAAAACGAATCAAGAACACCGAGATATACATCTCTGTACATGATTTGACAAAATGTACTACATACAGCCTATCAATTGTAAAAAACTCCACTACTTAGATGCATAAAAGGCTCATATGAAATATATGTCCAATCCACCGGGTTAACGATTCAACAAAATCTTCGACAGGAACAGCTCCAAACTGTTTGCTACAAGAGATGCTCCTCACACATGACCCATAAATGCATTACATTAAGCAGTGAAGCAAATGAATATACGGTTTATAAACTGTAAAGAAACAAAGTAACTCTGAGCAGAAGACCATCATCAAAAGGCACATTACATCAGATTCCGATGATCATCATAGCAAAAATTCCCCATTGAATCAAGCTCAAACAACAAAAATTAAACAGCCCTAATTCATTTCAACCACTCTCTAGATCAAATAAATAAATAAAAAAAAAAACAATCAGGCCCATTTTTCGGGGGAAAAAACAGACGGTTTAAGGAGAAACTCACTTCCCATTGCTGCAATTCATTTGCTTTTCTGGATCTTCTTCTTCTTCTTCTTCCTTTCACCCAGCAGCTAAAAGAGATACAAAGAATCAAAAATAAAACAGAACACAAAAACACACAAAATGATGGTCATAAATTAGAAAAAAAAACACCAACCCTTCTTCACACTTACTGAGTAGCCGTTACAGAGTAATATATGTACAAGTCGAGATGTAAGAAAACTCATCTACTGCGCGACTGTTCTTATTTATACCACATTGAAAATGATGGCACCATTAAAGAAAAATCCCTACTTTATAAATAAATATTTAAAAAAATAGAGAGAGAGAGAGAGAGAGGGAGAGAGAGAGAGAGAGAGATGCAACCCTGAAAGCGTAGAGAAGTAATTGACCGGGTTTCGAACCTCCAAATTCGAAAAAAAAGAGGGTGGACATCTTTTTTGCCTAATTATATAATTATTTTTTCCTTTTTTTAACATAGTTTCGTCAAATAGCTTCTTAAGCACTCTACAATTCCCAAAATAATCTTCTATATTATAATCAGACATTCAAATGAAGTATAGATTATGCGATATTTTGTCGTATATATAACAATGTATATTCAAATCGAACTCATAATTTATAATTATGCGAAAAAATTCGCATATCTCATAATCGCGTATTCAAATAAATTGCATAATTTTACGACTATGAGAAAAACTTTCATATATCCAAATCGAACGCCACATATTTTACGATTATGCTACATTTTTTCGCATATTTTAGAAATCGCACATTTAAATCTAACGTCGGATAATTTACTATAATGCGAAAAAAAATTGCAAAATCTTTCGGATGTATACGAATGGGATATCCAAATCGAACGCGACATGGTTTATGATTATGTGTCATTTTTCCGCATATCCATATTGACCTCATATAATTTACAACTATTGAAAATTATTTGAATATTTTCGCACACTGCATTAATTGACTGTTTTTTGACGTAACAAACTTGACGCGAAAGATGTAATTTTTTTGTCACAAATCTTATGGGTCGTCCTTCAGATCATAGAAAAAAAAATGATCTCTAACGCAATGTATGCGCCATTCAGCTACTGTACTTTTTTCTTTCATTTTAATTCTTTTTATTGAACTTAATTGTCTTTTATTGTTCTGTGTGTTAAAAATTTCATTTGAATGGCTAGTAACTGCGTTAGAATGTGCCTGCACTATGGTGGTCTGTTTTCTGAGGTTTCATATATTGGTGGTGTGGCTAAGCTGAAGAGAATAAATTATGGCAAGCAAATATTTCTGAAGTAGTTTCTCGCATTTAAGCATTATTAAAGATCGACCCTTGTAACTTTGAGTCCATGTTGTAGGTAGTATTTGATGGAATGGATCGAGTTGTGAAGATAAAAATTGAATCCACTGACGATATTGTAAAGTTGTTTCAAGAATAAGGAAATCCCGACATATACGTGAAGTTGGAAAAGCGACTAGATATAGGGATTTTGGGGACAGTGCAATAGAGCTTCACGCAATTGATGACGTCCCTTGGTGTATTTTCGAGTTATATTATGGTGGAATTCTGCATTTTTCCACAAGACCCCATATTCATATCAATCAAGCTACTCTTTTCATCCATCTGGCCCTAGTTCATTTCCACTCATTGGACATCTCCAGGGTGTTGATGATCAAACTGCTGCTTATTCGGATGTGGGCAGGTTGGATGACACGCATGATTGTTCAAACCAACCAGGTCCTTCTCATGACGATGATGATGTTGATGACATTGAAGTAAGCAATAATGACCAAAAGCTAGCTTATAACATATGTGGTTACCTTCTAAGTTCTTTTTTTATGCGAATAAGCTTGTTTAGTAGGACGAACTTTTTTCTTTTAAAGTTCGAGCTTATCACATAAGCATCTTTAGGTAACTTTTCAAATAAGGTCGTTGAAATTTTCATTTCAGCTAGTTTATCAGCTAATTCTACCAAACACTTTCATCATATCAACTAGTTTTTTAGCCATAAGCAATCAGTTATAAGCTCAAAATTCACTGATAAGCTATCAGCTAAACTATCAGCTAGCTACCAAACATAGCCTCAGGTGAAGGACCCATTCTCAACAGAGAGGTTAATGAGAAACAAAGGTTCAATCTTTTCTGGGCGTGGTATTGTAATCATATTGAACAACTCAGATTAAATATCGACCATATTGAGGTTGAAAGTCTTGGATATACACATTTAGGTAGCACGCGATGGACGACATTATGCCACCAATGTGGTCCATTCTTATGCCACCCACGACAAATCGATCAGATAGACAACTCATCCACTTACCCTCGAAGAATATAGAATTATATTTTGGGTTCGTCTTTCTTTCGAAAGAGTTGATTTGTGGCATTCAGTTTTATCATGTGCAGAAAAACGTTGAGTTTCGAACTCCTAAATCTTGTACTTCTAGGTCACTATCGATTTGTTGGTGTGATGGTTTTTTTAAAAGTTATGTGGGCAAATCAAAACAAGTGAAAAATCACCAGTTTGAAATTCGAGCATACATGCAAAAGGATTTTGATGCACAATCGACAACGTTCGACTTATTTTAAGGTTCTTGCTCATATCTATGCACTAAATTTTGCATCAATCCCCTGAAGGTATCTATGCGGAGAGTTATGGTTTGTCGATCAACTTCAATGTTTCCCTCCGAGCAAGACAACGTGCTATTGAAAAAGTTTAGGTGGGGGGGGGTCATGAAGAATCATAGGGCGACTTCCTGGTTACTTGCACATGTTACAAGCTCGTAAATTTAGGTAGAATTGTTGAATTGCAACAAGAGATGAAGGTATCAAGACACTTGTTCTTTACTCTGAGTGCTAGCATTGATGGCTTTCGACAAGATGATGTCCCGAAGATGGTACACACATGAAGGCAAAATATAGGAGAATTATGTTTATTGTAGATACATCGGACGGGAATCGCCAAATCTTCCTCCTCGCAATTGTGAATTGGAGATGTAGAGTGTCATAAGTCTTGGAGTAGGTCTTTGACTCATGGGAGAAAGATCTATAGTTTTCTTGGTAAACTTCTCATTGTTAGGGTATGCTATAAAAGCTCGACTTTTTGTTTCTGACAATATCATTTTGAATTAGATTCTTGTTTTAGTCAAGTATGTGTGATTGCAGTTTATTTATTTACACGAGCATAGTTTCTTTACTTTATATTGTAGATAATATGGTTCATTGTGTCCAACGGAAAGATCATATTATCGGTACCTTGTAAAATATAAATATTAGTTTACAGCCTAGATAGAATTGAACTATATGTTGTGAAAGGTTGTAGTGAGATTTTCAAGTTAGTTGATCTTTGATTAATGAATTACACTAGTATATCTTGGATGTATTGAACGGACTTACGGGGAAGAAGATTATTTTATACTGACCAAGTAAATATTTTAGACCTCATTAATTGTTGCGTTCTCTTAACCCGTAAGACGATAAACAGACATATGTATTTAACACTTGCTTGTTTGATTTACCGAGGGTGATACCTATTCTGTTATGTTGACATACTCAGTTATTTTGGTAAGTGATGTTGCTCTGTGTTCCTTTCTGGCGGGTTGATGACGTCCCCGAGATGAGCTCAAAAAGGTTATTATGTTAAACCCTGCAAGCAGATTTGTTTCTAACATAATATTAAAGAACTAAGTGGTACTAGTTTTGTATGGAGATGTTGATTGATTATATTTTTAGTAATTAAATTAATCAACAGACGTTATATGTTAAACATAGGGAGATAATTCGAGCAATTAATCTATAAACTAAATATTGGTAACTAGAAGCTAAATTGGGAGTAGAATAATATTACTCAAGTGTAATTTTTAACGTATCATTTAAAAATTAAATATGGATTAAACAAACATATTAACCAGTTAAATAAACCTAATACTGATTTTAAGGTGATTTTGAATGTATCCTTTCAAGGTATCTATATATATATAATTACTAGCCAATAGCATTTAATAAAACCTATTTAATAAAACCTCTAACTTTTTTCCCTCCATTTTCGGTTACAAAATTTAACATTAATAATTTTTACTTCCCACATTAATACATCATATTAAGTATAATCATGTATGTTTCTATTATATTATATAATAGTTATTGTTAATACTAACTAATGATAATTCACAATAAATATAAATTACATAATTATAAAAAATTGTTTCAAATTATGTATTTTAACATCAATATTATATTTTTCTTTTGTAGCTCATAAAAATATTTCTTTAAAAACAATTAGTATATTGTTTTAATAGCATAGTTAAACAACTTTAATATCTTATAAACAATTGTTTTTTAATAATATATATATATATATATATATATAATTGCTAGCTAATCATTAAATAAAACCTCATAAATAAAATCTAATTAATTAAACTTCATTTATTTTCCCTCCAAAAGAAGTTACAAAATTTGTCATTTATATTTTGCCTTTCATATTAATACCCCTATTAAGTGTAATCATGTATAAAAATTAATAGCATTAACTATTATATAATATAATAGCAAAAAATAGCATTAACTACTATAATAATAATAATAATAATAATAATAATAATAATAAT